CATCGGAACATACATCTATATATCATGTCTATATACCATACCTTCTGTTCATACACTGACAGTCTCTATATCTAACACCTCTATCTGGGACTGGGCTTCACAATAATGTTCCGTATAAAAACGGGTACAGGCCACCAGTTCCTCAGAACCTTCTGTTCATACACTGACCGTCTCTATATCTAACACCTCTATCTGGGACTGGGCTTCACAATAATGTTCCGTATAAAAACAGCCACCAGTTCCTCAGAACCTTCTGTTCATACAACTATATCTCACAGCATACTATTAAATACACATCAATACATTCTCTATCTAAGATACCATCAGTTCATGAGTCCATACCCAATATTGCCCCGTCAAGATCCGGGTTAGAACTGGTGTTTAGCAACCCATGCTTGTCAGGACTATGTAAGGCATGCCTGTGTCAGTCGAGTTCAACTGATCAGGTGTAACGTATAAGTAGGAACTTGTACACTAACACCCTGAAGCATCAGTCTTGTGTTAAATATCTGGGCATATCAACAGAAAACATTTCATTTACATGGGAACCAGACACGTCGGAAATTGATGTAGGATATCTGAGTGTTTTTACATATTTACAAATGAGATCTTAATGGGACATCGCGAACCCATATTGTTAGTACACGAAACACTGAGGCGTCAAGTGAAATTCGATACAGTTATCATCGGAAACACAACGGAGTAGAACTTAGATATGAGAAACGTTAATGTCACCTTTTCATCAAAAATACTTAACTTTACATTTTCAATGTTTTCAATATACACAATGAGTACAGAATTTTACCGTCACCATGTGTCGAAATAGTTAGATTTGTTGTGCGAAGCAGCTCATATATCTGAACTCTCACATTCTAGTATAACGGATTTCGTCACACACTGACATGCATAGTAACACTTTCAGATGTCAGACAAGAAGCCATGTAAGCTAATAACGGGAGGTACATACGACGCTAGTGAGATGGGAGGTACATACGACGCTAGTGAGATGGGAGGTACATACGACGCTAGTGAGATGGGAGGTACAGAAGACGCTAGTGAGATGGGAGGTACAGAAGACGCTGGTGAGATGGGAGGTACAGAAGACGCTGGTGAGATGGGAGGTACAGAAGACGCTAGTGAGATGGGAGGTACAGAAGACGCTAGTGAGATGGGAGGTACAGAAGACGCTAGTGAGATGGGAGGTACAGAAGACGCTAGTGAGATGGGAGGTACAGAAGACGCTAGTGAGATGGGAGGTACAGAAGACGCTAGTGAGATGGGAGGTACAGAAAACGCTAGTGAGATGGGAGGTACAGAAGACGCTGGTGAGATGGGAGGTACAGAAGACGCTAGTGAGATGGGAGGTACAGAAGACGCTAGTGAGATGGGAGGTACAGAAGACGCTAGTGAGATGGGAGGTACAGAAGACGCTAGTGAGAAGACGCTAGTGAGAAGACGCTAGTGAGAAGGGAGGTACAGAAGACGCTGGTGAGAAGGGAGGTACAGAAGACGCTGGTGAGAAGGGAGGTACAGAAGACGCTGGTGAGAAGGGAGGTACAGAAGACGGTAGTGAGATCGGAGGTACAGAAGACGCTAGTGAGAAGGGAGGTACAGAAGACGCTGGTGAGATGGGAGGTACAGAAGACGCTGGTGAGATGGGAGGTACAGAAGACGCTAGTGAGAAGGGAGGTACAGAAGACGCTGGTGAGAAGGGAGGTACAGAAGACGCTGGTGAGAAGGGAGGTACAGAAGACGGTAGTGAGATGGGAGGTACAGAAGACGCTAGTGAGATGGGAGGTACAGAAGACGCTGGTGAGAAGGGAGGTACAGAAGACGCTGGTGAAAAGGGTGGTACAGAAGACGCTAGTGAGATGGGAGGTACCGAAGACGCTAGTGAGGTGGGAGGTACAGAAGACGCTAGTGAGAAGGGAGGTACAGAAGACGCTAGTGAGATGGGAGGTACAGAAGACGCTGGTGAGAAGGGAGGTACAGAAGACGCTGGTGAGAAGGGAGGTACAGAAGACGGTAGTGAGATGGGAGGTACAGAAGACGCTAGTGAGAAGGGATGTACAGAAGACGGTAGTGAGATGGGAGGTACAGAAGACGCTGGTGAGATGGGAGGTACAGAAGACGCTAGTGAGAAGGGAGATACAGAAGACGCTAGTGAGAAGGGTGGTACAGAAGACGCTAGTGAGATGGGAGGTACCGAAGACGCTAGTGAGGTGGGAGGTACAAAAGACGCTAGTGAGAAGGGGGGTACAGAAGACGCTGGTGAGAAGGGAGGTACCGAAGACGCTGGTGAGATGGGAGGTACAGAAGACGCTGGTGAGAAGGGAGGTACAGAAGACGCTAGTGAGAAGGGAGGTACAGAAGACGCTAGTGAGATGGGAGGTACAGAAGACGGTAGTGAGATGGGAGGTACAGAAGACGCTGGTGAGATGGGAGGTACAGAAGACGCTAGTGAGAAGGGAGATACAGAAGACGCTAGTGAGAAGGGTGGTACAGAAGACGCTAGTGAGATGGGAGGTACCGAAGACGCTAGTGAGGTGGGAGGTACAGAAGACGCTTGTGAGAAGGGGGGTACAGAAGACGCTGGTGAGAAGGGAGGTACCGAAGACGGTAGTGAGATGGGAGGTACACCATCAGACGCTGGTTAGAGGGTACAGACAACGCTAGTAAGAATGGTACGCACAATAGACATGCTAACAGGTCAACAAACTCTCCCCTCCCACTCCTTCACAGCTTACTCACAGAAAGCCAGTTGTAAAAAATCTGTCTGATGTAAGTGTGTAGCGCTTGTAATGTAATACACTCACACAACAACCTACATGCCTAGTTAAACACAAAACACAAACATGAATATTGCAAAGGCGCTATAACAATCATCATGTGTGACTGACAGTTTATGTTGTGCCACAACACAAACCTAGCAGCATGGTTATTTACAAAATACATCCGAAAAAATGTTAAAAAACAGCGACCCTCGCATTCGTCATGGTCGAGCAGAAATCTTGTACGACGTGGCCTTGGAGAAATCTGGGTCTTGAACAAAATAATCTAAAACGCTTACTTGCACATTTGCTACATTCCCATCATTATAACACAGGATTGAAGAATGCTGTACTCTCTCAGAGAGACGTGCTCTGGTGATCATTTCGGTGTGTCTCGGTTATTGGCCAAGTAAGGGAGCTCCTGGGTAGCCAGGCACTGGCATAGAGCAGCTCCTTGGTAGTCAGGCACTGGCATAGAGCAGCTCATGGGGTAGCCAGGCACTGGCACTGGCACAGAGCAGCTCATGTGTAGCCAGGCACTGGCATAGAGTAGCTCCTGGGTAGCCAGGCACTGGCATAGAGCAGCTCATGGGTAGTCAGGCACTGGCATAGAGCAGCTCCTTGGTAGTCAGGCACTGGCATAGAACAGCTCATGTGTAGCCAAGCACTGGCACAGAGCAGCTCCTGGGTAGCCAGGCACTGGCATAGAGCAGCTCCTGGGGTAGCCAGGCACTGGCACAGAGCAGCTCCTGGGTAGTCAGGCACTGGCATAGATCACCTCATGTGTAGCCAGGAACTAGCATAGAGCAGCTCCTCGGGTAGCCAGGTACTGTCATATAAGAGCTCCTGGGGCAGCCAGGTACTGGCATAGAGCAGCCCATGGGTAGCCAAGTACTGGCAAAGAACAAATCGTGGGTAACCAGGCACTGGCATAGAGCAGCTCATGGGTAGCCAGGCACTAGCAAATAGCAGCTCATGGGTAGCCAGGCACTGGCATATAGCAGCTCATGGATGGGGTAGCCAGGCACTGGCATAGAGCAGCTCATGGGTAGCCAGGCACTGGCATAGAGCAGCTCATGTGTAGTCAGGCACTGGCATAGAGCAGCTCCTTGGTAGTCAGGCACTGGCATAGAGCAGCTCCTGGGGTAGCTGGGCACTGGCATAGAGCAGCTCATGGGTAGCCAGGCACTGGCATAGAGCAGCTCCTGGGTAGCCAGGCACTGGCACAGAGCAGCTCATGGGGTAGCCAGGCACTGGCATAGAACAGCTCCTGGTTAGCCAGGTACTGGCATAGAGCAGCTCATGGGTAGCCAGGCACTGGCATAGAGCAGCTCATGGGGTAGCCAGGCACTGGCATAGAACAGCTCCTGGTTAGCCAGGTACTGGCATAGAGCAGCTCCTGGGTAGCCAGGTACTGGCATAGAGCAGCTCATGGGGTAGCCAGGCACGGGCATAGAGCAGCTCATGGGGTAGCCAGGCACTGGCATAGAGCAGCTCCTGGTTAGCCAGGTACTGGCATAGAGCAGCTCATGGGGCAGCCAGGTACTGGCATAGAGCAGCTCAAGGGTCGTTAGCCACTAGCATAGAGCAGCATCGTTCTCCAGAGCTCGAGGTTCAAGCATTTGATCTTTGTTACATGTTACTTACGTGACCCCATTGCTACAAACCTATACGTAAGTCGCTCATCTGATGTTGCCATCATAAAAAGGACATTCAAACCTAAACGTTTCCTTTGCTAAGAGGAACACACTTATGGACGTGGATTAACAGGTTTAAGTCTGGGTGACAGAAGACACCGTCCAGAGAATATACGGGCAATGATATTTCGTGTCGTGCTGTGTTTTCCGCCATCCTCACAACATGAGCGTGTATAAGACACGTGTACACCCACTGCCGCTCATTGACAGAGGCGACCAAACTTGCTATCAAGCCTTGTAGTTGCTATATGTAGTCGCCGTTACACCACTATCTTTACACCGTTAATATATCTGAGAACGTCAACCGAAAACGCTGCACAATCATATTTTTCAAAAATACAATTCTTTGTGAGACGCCCTCTCTCCCATACCGCTGTCACACATGCACATAGTTGGCGCGCATCCACATACTTACAATGTCTCACCCCAATATATGCATACCTGGGATATTTCACTGTGATATATGCATACATCAGCATACCCGCACTAACAGGATATATTCCAATATATGATAAATGTACAATGTACTCACCGGTCGGCCGTCGGTCCCGGGGGGTCCCCTACCTCCGTCTCTACCCCTCTCGCCTGGGTCCCCCTTAAAGTAGAGATAACGCACCCGTGAGGATTGTTGCAAGGAGGGGAGGGTAGCTATGTGCACTAGGAGTAGCAACCGGAACGTCAGTATCTCCTTCATATCGACCTCCCGTACACACGCTCCTCCCGTCTGTCAGTGTCCTGTAGCCACTACCGGCGAGGGAAAAAGAGCGACGGACAGACAGTCCTCGTGATATGTACTGCCGGCTTGCGGCGAGGAGAACGCTCCACCGGTCGCTCGTGCACAGGAGGGAGGGAGGGGGGAGGGAGCGGTTACTCCCTGTAAGCAATCTCAAGAATAAGTTACTTACGGAATAAACGCATGTACGTTACTTATTTGGGAGGTGTAAACAGGAGGGGGTTACGAGGATTTTGAAGTGAGTTGAAGAAGGAGTGGCGCTGTTTTATGGAATCGGGAACAAGGGTTATGTCCTGCTGGGGAGATGGATAGTGAGAAAGTGCATGAGTTGTTAGATGTGTGAGAGAGCGATGCGTGAAGAGAGGGTGTGTGACTTGTCGGTTGTAATTTATCCTCTGTGGAACAATTGCTAGGGTGACGTGTGTGAGACAATGACCTCCTCACTCACTCGTGACAAGACCCATGTGAGCGCTCAGTACAGCTACAGCAGTACTGGGGACGAGTCAAGACAGGCGAACGTTCGCTACTTCTCGTCTGTCCGCCATGGGTGATTGTTGTTGTGTGTATATATATATGTGTGTGTGTATATACTACAAACTCTTTGTTCAGTGTGTTGACACAGACATATTTTTGGTTAGATTTCTGAGCTCAACATCGTCAAGCCTTTGCGTATTTCCGCCAGTGGCATTCCTTGACTTGATGCAAGAGAGCTGATGGTTACAGCAGAACTGTCAGACACCAACCTCGCCCCTGCATCTGTTCTGACAACTATTATAAGAGAGAGAAAGAGAAAGAGAGAGGGTGAGAGAGAGGGAGAGGGAGAGAGAGAGAGGAAAGGGGGAGCAAAACAATTTGAGTGTAGTGAATGATGGAGTGAGTGAGTAAGATAAGAGAGTAGGTGAGTGAGTGAGAGTGAAAGAGTGTGTGAATGAGAGTGGGTGAGAGAGAGGGGAGAGAGAGAGATAGAGAGAGAAGGGAAACAGAGAGAGGGAGAAAGAGGGGGAGAGAGAGTGAAAGTGTGAATGAGAGAGTGGGGTCAGAGAGAGAGGAGAGAGTGTGTGAATGAGAGAGAGAGTGGATGAGAGAGAGAGGAGAGAGTGACGAGAGAGAGGGCAGAGAGTGCGAATGAGCGAGAGAAAGAGGCAGGAGAGAAAAGAGAGGGGAGAAAGAGAGTTAGGGCGAGAGATTGGGGAGAGAGAGTGAGGGGAGAGAGAGGTGTGTGGGGTGGGGTGGGTGTGTGTGTGTGTGTGTGTGGGGGGGGGGGGGGGGGGGGGGTGTTACGGCAGAGGGACGTTGACGTGGCTTCCTTTACCAAACACACAGTAGCATAGACATATGACCCTACACGATCCGCTCGTCCAGTAAAGAACTGACAACGTTATTCTGACCAAGACTTGGAAATGTGCCAGATATGAGGGACTGACAAATGAGGAAAAGTTTTTTGCACTACACAAGAACAACATCTATATATCTCGCAGCAGGATTATGCTGAGATTGATTGAATGGCTATTCCTGTTTAGTATACTGAACGTACCTTTATTCCATCGGTTCCTGGCAGTCCCGGGTTCCCTGGAACTCCCGGAGCGCCCTGCAACAACCAACACGGGACACTTCAAAGGCGAACTGTGTGATTATGTAAGTATGCAAACACAGCCACATCAGACTACCTGGTCAAACATTATAACTAGGCGACTACTCCTGCCTGCCCTGAAGAAGGCGACGTTCGTGATGCCATAACCACGTCATCGCAGCGTACATCTCCGCTCCGCGACGGTAATTCAAGGTCAGACGCAAAGGTCAAGGCACCAGTCGGCGGGGAAATGTGGGCTTTGGAAAAATCGTCATTTCTTTAAAGGACAGACAGGTTGTTAAATTGTACCACTGTTTTAAGGTTAAATGTCAAACATGTTAAATTCCGTAACGTCAGTGTCTTTATTACAACAACAATGACGTTACACATTTAAGCACGTTCCTTTGCTAGAGTGTTGATGTCCGTCTAGACGCTGGGTCACTGTAAACAGTTTACAGTTAGAGTGTTGTCGTCCGTCTAGACTCTGGGTCACTGTAAATAGTTTACAGTTAGAGTGTTGTCGTCCGTCTAGACTCTGGGTCACTGTAAACAGTTTACAGTTAGAGTGTTGTCGTCCGTCTAGACTCTGGGTCACTGTAAACAGTTTACAGTTAAAGTGTTGATGTCCGTCTAGACCCTGGGTCACCGAAAACAGTTTACAGTTAGAGTGTTGTCGTCCGTCTAGACTCTGGGTCACTGTAAACAGTTTACAGTTAGAGTGTTGATGTCCGTCTAGACGCTGGGTCACTGTAAACAGTTTACAGTTAGAGTGTTGTCGTCCGTCTAGACTCTGGGTCACTGTAAATAGTTTACAGTTAGAGTGTTGTCGTCCGTCTAGACTCTGGGTCACTGTAAACAGTTTACAGTTAAAGTGTTGATGTCCGTCTAGACCCTGGGTCACCGAAAACAGTTTACAGTTAGAGTGTTGTCGTCCGTCTAGACGCTGGGTCACTGTAAACAGTTTACAGTTAGAGTGTTGTCGTCCGTCTAGACTCTGGGTCACTGTGAACAGTTTACAGTTAGAGTGTTGTCGTCCGTCTAGACTCTGGGTCACTGTAAACAGTTTACAGTTAGAGTGTTGATGTCCGTCTAGACGCTGGGTCACTGTTAACAGTTTACAGTTAGAGTGTTGATGTCTGTCTAGACTCTGGGTCACCGGGAACTGTTTACAGTTAGAGTGTTGACGTCCGTCTAGACTCTGGGTCACTGGAAACAGTTTACATTTAGAGTGTTGATGTCCGTCTAGACCCTGGGTCACCGAAAACAGTTTCCATTTAAAGTGTTGTCGTCCGTCTAGACTCTGGGTCACTGTAAACAGTTTACAGTTAAAGTGTTGTCGTCCGTCTAGACGCTGGGTCACTGTAAACAGTTTACATTTAGAGTGTTGTCGTCCGTCTAGACTCTGGGTCACTGTAAACAGTTTACATTTAGAGTGTTGTCGTCCGTCTAGACTCTGGGTCACTGTAAACAGTTTACAGTTAGAGTTTTGTCGTCCGTCTAGACTCTGGGTCACTGTAAACAGTTTACAGTTAGAGCGTTGTCGTCCGTCTAGACTCTGGGTCACTGTAAACAGTTTACATTTAGAGTGTTGTCGTCCGTCTAGACTCTGGGTCACTGTAAACAGTTTACAGTTAGAGTGTGGATGTCCGTCTAGACCCTGGGTCACCGAAAACAGTTTACATTTAGAGTGTTGTCGTCCGTCTAGACTCTGGGTCACTGTGAACAGTTTACAGTTAGAGTGTTGTCGTCCGTCTAGACTCTGGGTCACTGTAAACAGTTTACAGTTAGAGCGTTGATGTCCGTCTAGACGCTGGGTCACTGTAAACAGTTTACAGTTAGAGTGTTGATGTCCGTCTAGACGCTGGGTCACTGGGAACTGTTTACAGTTAGAGTGTTGACGTCCGTCTAGACGCTGGGTGACTGTAAACAGTTTACAGTTAGAGTGTTGATGTCCGTCTAGACCCTGGGTCACTGTGAACAGTTTACAGTTAGAGTGTTGATGTCCGTCTAGTCTCTGGGTCACTGTAAACAGTTTACAGTTAGAGTGTTGATGTCCGTCTAGACGCTGGGTCACTGTAAACAGTTTACAGTTAGAGTGTTGATGTCCGTCTAGACGCTGGGTCACTGGGAACTGTTTACAGTTAGAGTGTTGACGTCCGTCTAGACGCTGGGTGACTGTAAACAGTTTACAGTTAGAGTGTTGATGTCCGTCTAGACCCTGGGTCACTGGAAACAGTTTACAGTTAGAGTGTTGATGTCCGTCTAGACGCTGGGTCACTGTAAACAGTTTACAGTTAGAGTGTTGATGTCCGTCTAGACCCTGGGTCACTGTAAACAGTTTACAGTTGGAGTGTTGATGTCCGTCTAGACTCTGGGTCACTGTAAACAGTTTACAGTTAGAGTGTTGTTGTCCGTCTACACGCTGGGTCACTGGGAACTGTTTACAGTTAGAGTGTTGACGTCCGTCTAGACGCTGGGTCACTGTAAACAGTTTACAGTTAGAGTGTTGATGTCCGTCTAGATGCTGGGTCACTGTAAACAGTTTACAGTTGGAGTGTTGATGTCCGTCTAGACTCTGGGTCACTGTAAACAGTTTACATTTAGAGTGTTGATGTCCGTCTACACGCTGGGTCACTGGAAACAGTTTACAGTTAGAGTGTTGTCGTCCGTCTAGACGCTGGGTCACTTAAAAGTTTACAGTTAGAGTGTTGATGTCCGTCCAGACGCTGGGTCACTAGGAACAGTTTACAGTCACATAATGCTGCTGTGCGTCAGATGGGTGTGGGTGAAACCAAATAGGATTCAGATCGCAGATGATTACCACAGTCGTGACTAGAGGGCGCTTCAGGGCATGGTGCTGGCAAACCGATCAGCGGATCCTGCCAGACAAAACTCCGCACAGCGAATCGCGGGTGATACACCACGTGGCCACCTGTGCTTGAGGACTCCACCCACGTAAATTGTCCCCCCCCCCCTTTCTACAGACCCCCGTACCCCTTGATACACAAGTCCCCCCCCCTTTCTACAGACCACCCTACCCCATGATACACAAGTCCCCCCCCCTTTCTACAGACCACCCTACCCCTTGATACACAAGTCCCCCCCCCCCCCCCTTTCTACAGACCACCGTACCCCTTGATACACAAGCCCCACCCCCTTTTTACAGAGGTTAACAGTTAAAACACATACACTTTATAAATACTCATTTCTGAAACAGGCATGACATGAAAGTTGCGGTAACTGCCTCTCCTAAATGGGGTGTAATGCAATACGCTTGTGGTAAGGTCCCCGTGACGTTTAGTTCTTAGTTGCATTTTTCAAATATCATTGAAATAGGAGGTTGATGCCTAGTTAGCCTGCTTAATGAAATCCTGTCCCAGACTCCCCCTCCCATGCCTGCCAACCCCTCCCCAAAGCATCACGCATCACGTGAAGAATCCCTGCATCAGCTGTTTCAGCGGAGACAGTGCGTGACTAGAACATGTGCTCAGCTCAACTCCTCGTCGGTATGTTGAACTGGTCGATTTGCTGTGTTGCGGTAGGCAGGGATATTTTAAACTGGGTTAATAGGTTAAGAACATATTCAGAAAAAGGCTGTAAAGTGTATTGTTTTTAAGAAATGGGACGTCGACATATGTGCCACATGGGAAAGGACATTAACTACCGGCCGTCACTGTGCACCAGGGCAATGATGACATACTGCAGCACTGATAGCAACAAAACCGCCTCTTTCACCAATGGCATTGTTGACAGCTAGACAACCCATAACAATAACGGCATTGTGTACCATCAATAACACTAACGGCATTGTGTACCACCAATGACAATAATGACACTGTGTACCACCAATGACAAACACGGCAAAGTGTTCCATCAATGACACTAACGGCATTGTGTACCACCAATGACAATAATGACACTGTGTACCACCAATGACAAACACGGCAAAGTGTTCCATCAATGACACTAACGGCATTGTGTACCACCAATGACAATAATGACACTGTGCACCACCAATGACAAACACGGCATTGTGTATCATCAATAACACTAACGGCAGATGTGGTCAAACATTCAAGGTCTGTCTGGGACGCCAAGGTACAGATATGGTCAAACATTCAAGGTCTGTATTGGACGCCAAGGTACAGATGTTGTCAAACAGTCAAGGTCTGTCCAGGACGCCAAGGTACAGATGTGGTCAAACATTCAAGGTCTGTCTGGGACGCCAAGGTACAGATGTAGTCAAACATTCAAGGTCCGTCTGGGACGCCAAGGTGCAGATGTGGTCAAACATTCAAGGTCTGTCTTGGACGCCAAGGTACAGATGTGGTCAAACATTCAAGGTCTGTCTTGGACGCCAAGGTACAGATGTGGTCAAACATTCAAGGTATGTCTGGGACGCCAAGGTACAGATGTTGTCAAACATTCAAAGTCTGTCCAGGACGCCAAGGTACAGATGTGGTCAAACATTCAAGGTCTGTCTGGGACGCCAAGGTACAGATGTTGTCAAACATTCAAGGTCTGTCTTGGACGCCAAGGTACAGATGTGGTCAAACATTCAAGGTCTGTCCAGGACGCCAAGGTACAAATGTTGTCAAACATTCAAGGTCTGTCTGGGACGCCAAGGTACAGATGTTGTCAAACATTCAAGGTCCGTCTGGGACGCCAAGGTACAGATGTGGTCAACATTCAAGGTCTGTCTGGGACGCCAAGGAACAGATGTGGTCAAACATTCAAGGTCTGTCTGGGACGCCAAGGTACAGATGTGGTCAAACATTTAAGGTCCGTCTGGGACGCCAAGGTACAGATATGGTCAAACATTCAAGGTCTGTCTGGGACGCCAAGGTACAGATGTGGTCAAACATTCAAGGTCTGTCTGGGACGCCAAGGTACAGATGTGGTCAAACATTCAAGGTCTGTCTGGGACGCCAAGGTACAGATGTGGTCAAACATTCAAGGTCGGTCTGGGACACCAAGGTACAGATGTGGTCAAACATTCAAGGTCGGTCTGGGACGCCAAGGTACAGATGTTGGCAAACATTCAGGAGGAGTACAATGTTTGGTTGGCCTTAGTACCGAACGGTATGTACTTGTCTAAACATCCTACAGAGGTTCTAGAAATTGTGATTTGATAATTCATTCTTTCCTCTGACTACAACATGTCTATTTAGGCACTCTCGAGGTCGGCGTCGTGCGCTGATTCCACCCCCGTTGTTGACAATACGACCACTTTATGAGGTGAAGACGTCTATCCAGGCACTCACTCAGGGTCAATATCGTGCACGGCTAATCCAGACGTCCCGACTGTGAGTGTTTTTAGGATTAATAAGTGAACACGTAATGATGATATGTGAGTGAAAACACGTCCAGCTGCTCAAATCTCTGTCGCCGTGGTCTTAACCAAACCAAGTCCTTAATTACCAATTAACGAAACACTTATGTGTTCACCAGCCCCAGCACTCATACTTGACGATGCTGAGAGGCCGAATGAGGAGGGTGGGGCTTGCGGCAGCCGGAGCGCTGGGAACGCCTTGTGGACGGGAGGGTCATATGCACGCTGGGTTCGCTCGAAGCTATTACCACGAGGTGGTGCTGCTACAGGAAAGGACTGGTTACGCTGTCTGCTTGCGCAGCTGCCTTGGTACATATACGGCGTCAGTGGAAGACATTATGGTGTATTTATTTCTTATTAAAGAGGCTTTTGGTAACATGTATGATTATCATCATTGTATACAGATGGGTGGAAAGGGGCCCGGGAAACTTTCAACAGTCGAGCCGCCTCTTGATCCCCCCATAAATCAGGGAACACGAACCATGATAGAGACACAGAGGAGTGCCTAGAATGACCAACATCAGTGCCTAGACTGACCACTAGAAGTACCAAGACTGACACACTGGAGTGCCTAGATTGACCCACATGAGTGCATAAACTAATCCAGTGAAGTGCCTGGACTGACCCACATGCGTGCCTAGCCTGATCCAGAGTAGTACCAAGACTGACCCGCTGGAGTGCCTAGACTGATCCAGAGAAGTACCAACACTGACCCACCGGAGTGCCTAGCCTGATCCAGAGAAATATCAACACTGACCCACCGGAGTGCCTAGCCTGATCCAGAGAAGTACCAACACTGACCCACCGGAGTGCCTAGCCTGATCCAGAGTAGTACCAACACTGACCCACCGGAGTGCCTAGACTGATCCAGAGAAGTACCAACACTGACCCACCGGAGTGCCTAGACTGATCCAGAGAAGTACCAACACTGACCCACCGGAATGCCTAGCCTGATCCAGAGAAATATCAACACTGACCCACCGGAGTGCCTAGACTGATCCAGAGAAGTACCAACACTGACCGACCGGAGTGCCTAGACTGATCCAGAGAAGTACCAACACTGACCCACATGCGTGCCTAGCCTGATCCAGAGAAGTACCAACACTGACCCACCGGAGTGCCTAGACTGATCCAGAGAAGTATCAACACTGACCCACCGGAGTGCCCAGACTGACCCAGAGAAGTACCAACACTGACCCACCGGAGTGCCTAGACTGATCCAGAGAAGTATCAACACTGACCCACTGGAGTGCCTAGACTGACCCACAGGAGTGCCTGGAATAATCCAGCGAAGTACTAAGACTGATCCCCAAGAGACCCAGAGAAGCGCCGAGACATAATGGTTATACCATCAGGAAACGCCAGTCCTGATTCCGCTGACGTCACCCTGGCTACTCACCGGTCTGCCGTCCGTTCCTTGTGGTCCAGCATCACCTCGCTCGCCTTCATCACCCTGCAACACACATCTGGTTCATCATACCAATACATCGTACACCTACCAGCATAATGTGTTCAATACTAGTGAGGGTGGTGTACTGTGTTATCGTGTGATGTCATGCTAGTAGGTGAGGAACTTGTGTGATGGTATGTTCCGAATGTAGGTTGGCCTACCCATCTCATTCTCGCCCCAAGATGGCAATGCGTGTGTCTAGAAAATACACTTAAGTCTTGACAGTGATATGATAAGAGATACGTATTTAACAGAGGTTTGGTGAAATATTATTATTTCGTGTTCAATATTATTGCACCCACATAGCGTGTGTTTAATTTGTTTGTGTGTGGCTGTTTGTGCTAGTTTGGACTAATGCCGGTTTTGCAGAACTAGCCCACTGAGATACATGCCGAAGTTTAAAATGAATATACCACTCATACATAGTATATTGACTGTATTATTTTATCCAGGTACCAAGTACCATATGTTAACGTCATTTGCTATGACGCAGCCGGGGATTAAAGGTGAGGTGAGGTGAAATGGGGTTTAACGTCGCGTCCAAGATTATTGCACTTATATAACGACGTGCATGTTCGTGTGTGTGTATGTGTGGCTGCTTGTACTAGTCCGGACTGATGCCGATTTATAGTGCTTCCTCACTGAGATATCATGCCGCAGTTTAACATGAATACCCCACTCAGACACAGTATACTGACTCCGAGCCGAACAGTCCTTGTTTTAGCCCCTTAATGCCGAGCGCCAGGCAGGGTAACAACAAGTACCATCTTTTAACGTCTTTTGGTATGACGCGGTCGGGGATCGAACCCCGGACCTTCCGCTCTCCGGGCGGACGCTCTACCACTAGACCACGGAGGCGGTCTATTAAACAGAGGAATTAATACCACTATGCACACACAGCCTTCGTGTCACTACATACTACCCACCGTGCGTGCTGTTACACGTTCACGTTCATGGAGCAGCGAGTGAGTGGATGAGTAAGTGAGTGGATGCGTGAGTGAGCCTTTGCAATATTTCAGCCATATCACGGCGGGGGACACCAGACATGGGCTTCACACATTGTATCCATGTCGGGAATCGAACCCTGTCGTCGGTGTGACGAGCAAATGCTTTAACCACGAGACTACCCCACCATACCATTACGAGCTATACGTGAACATCCGGGTTAAAATAGGTCTTCAACAACCCGTGCTTGTCGTAGGAGGCGACTAACGAAATCGGTTGGTCAGGCTCGCTGACGTGGTTGATGCGTGTCATCGTATCCCATTTGCGTGGATCGATGCTCATGACATTAATCACTGCATCGTCTGGTCCAGATTATTATTTACGGACCGCCGTCATAAAGCTGAAATATTGCTGGGTGCGGCGTTAAACAACAAACAACAAAATTACGGGCAGTTGGGTGGACACCGGGGTAAAGTGTTGAGTCCCTACGTAGGTGCAACGTGTAAGGACCACCCTCGCTTTGATTTGGCTGAAATATTGCCCGTTACACAACTGGAAATAATGACAGTGAAATGTGTTTGCCTGGTCTGATGTTGCGTTAATAAACGTTAGAATTGGGTTAACGCCGCTCTCCACAGATGTTCCGTTATATCAGGGGGCACGGATGGCCACGTCGTCCAAGGCGCCGCGATTCGCTGTGCAGAGTTGCATCCCTTGGGCACGCCAGAAACCTATGATTGTGGGTTCTCATCCCGGTTCGCCCCGATTATGTTTCTAGGTTTGTCAGCACCATACCCGTGCTCGTTGGTTTCACCGAAGTGGTAAACGTCTGAGACCTGCATCACTTCGGGCTTTCCTCCCACATTAAGCTGACACGCCGCGGTATAACTTGAATACTGTTAAAAGCGGCGTTAAACCCAACTCACTCACTCACTAACTCCGTTATATCACGGCGTACGTGATGCAGCACATTGCACTGATTGAGACCTTTACGACTTTGGTGAGACCGTTGACAAACAAGCGTCATAATCGTGTGCAACCTGCTATTAGCGGATCCTGGTACGGCTACGAAACGCGATTTATGTCGCCCTGGCAGGGAGCGCTTGTCTGGAACTGAGTTATATCAGCAACCATTCACCTAGCTCCGGGACGCTGGGTGATGTGAAAAGGTCACAAGAAGCTCAACAAAAGCGTTTCATCAGCTCGAGGTTCCAAAAACCTATTTGTCGCACAGTATGGAAATCTCAGCTTCCTATCGCGAGTGAAGTGACAAAGAGAGCGTCAAATTTACTTGGATACAATGTCATAGTAACAGCGATAATTAACACACGTAACGGGAAGTACCAAGTACGTTTGCACTAGGAAGGTAAATACGGAATGCTGCCGGTTGTATCGAGTTGCCCCCTTCAACACTTCCGACAGTTCAAACCCAGACCCAAGTGGCTGGTTACCTGTCTTCATCTAGCCCCCTGTAACTCCGTGTAACACTGCCCGGTTAGCGTGTACACTATTGTCTCAGCGTTACTCGCTCCTTGTTGATTGAGAAAACATTTCGAAATCACTTGACAGAAGCTGAAGAAATGTCTACTGAAGGCATTATGCCTATTACGTCATCACTGCAATACCTGCAAACTCCTTCACAGAAATAGACGGTTTGCGGTGTAGAAATAGCACAGTCAGCAGCTTTGAAAGGGCCAATTCACGGACTAAATGCCAACTTCTTTGAAAAGGGGGTTATTGTTGATATATTTACTTATTTTACGGTACTCCTTAAATGGGTTTCGACAGTAAAGGCAGCTTAGCTAATTCTATAGGAACTACATATTTCAGTGTAGAACACAGAGTTAATTAAATAGCTTCTCTGTTACAGCTGGAGGTTGCAGTCATAACATTACCAGTAGTTAAAATTCTTTAGCTTTTGGCCCAATTTGCTTAACCCCTTAGAAAAATCACGAACCAAAGTTAGTGCGACCTAGTCAAACATGCGTGACATATATCGTTTCCATATCTGAGAATCACTACAGAAGTCGGTGATAGATCTCCGACATTCCCCTGTAAAGAGGGCCTAGTGTACTGGAGCGAGTTGCCTGATCAGAAAGATGGGGCCGCAGCGATATCGCGGTGTTGGCTTACGATTGGGTTGTGGCACCCAAGGAACTACCCCACGGAGGGTGGGGGTGGGTTTTTTTTTGGGGGGAGCGAAGTCATCGTGTGTGATACTACTACATGCAGTATCAGCCATCTAGACCCACTGGGGTGTGTTGCCGGTGATTTACTTCCATGTTTTCTCGCGTTGTTGAATCATAACAGACACCCCAGGGTAAAACGCCAATGATGGGCTGTGTAGGACACACAGAGACTTCTATAGGCTGGACGGGTGGAAACCGACGTGGAAACCTTATTCTGACCAGTATTAGCGACAACTTGCTTAAATGCTAACTATATTATCTTATTAATGATATAATAAAAACAACGCTTTGTTTACACTAACATCGTTCCTGATCCTGTTATTTAAGTAAAAACTATGCTGTTTTCCAACCACAATGCTGCCGGTGAAGAGAGCGATGGCCACCATGTATAATAGACCGCTTGCGTGGCATTGGGATTGTTGGTGTAGCTGTGTTAGTGAGTGAGGGTTGAGCTAGTGAGTGAGTTGGAATGTATGCCGCATCAAAAAATATGCCAGGATTCACGTAGTGTGTCATGATTATAATCGACCCTGTGAATTAGGTGTGACAAGCAAACACTTTAACTACTAGGCTACCCTCCTCTCATGAGAGAGTTGAAGTGTGGTAGCCGCTGTATTATAAAGCAGACTCATCTCTCCGTGAGTGAGTGAGTGAGTTGGTTTAACGCCGCTTTTAACAGTATTTCAGTTATATCACGGCGTGTCAGCTTAATGTGGGAGGAAAGCCCAAAGTGATGCAGGTCTTAGACGTTTACCACTTCGGTAAAACCCACAAACACGGGTATGGTGCTGACAAACCTAGAAACATAATCGGGGCGAGCCGAGATTCGAACCCACAATCAAAGGTTTCTGGCGTGTCCAAGAGACGCAACTCTGCACAGCGAATTGCGGCGCCTTAGACGACTGAGTTTCTCGTGAAGCCTTGCAGGTGCGTGATGTGGTAGTGGTAGGTGGTGATGTGTCGGATGCCGCTGGGCCTTACCTTGGGGCCGATGTAGCCCTTGTCTCCCGGTTGTCCCGGATCTCCCTGAAGAAGAGAGGTGTGCATTAGTGGGCAGGTCATTCAGAATCTTCCCAATGTCAGACGTAACACGAGAATAATTTAATTTTGTTTTTGCTGGCATCATATAAATAAATGTTGGGTGTACAACTATGTACAACGTTCCCCGCTATGACTCTGGTGTGTATATATATTGGGTCTTGTTCAGACAGAGTTTAATAATAATAATAATAATAATAATAATAATAATAATAATAATCATTATCATCATCATCATAACAACATGTGTGATATGAATAAAGAAGTTGAAAAACATCAGTCAACTCTGTCTTCATTGATACGACAGATTCTAAATGCCGCTTAATAATAATAATAATAATCATCATCATCATCATCATCATCATCATAACAACAAGTGTGATATGAATAAAGAAGTTGAAATACATCAGTCAACTCTGTCTTCATTGATACGACAGATTCTAAATGCCGCTTAAAGATATAATCCCCTTTAAACATTCCAGTAGAAGCATCACCACGGCATGCGACAACGCCGGTGGACCTCTTGTATTAGCGTATCATCAGTACCGGGTGATACGGCTGTGTCGGGGTAACTGTATCCCCCATTAACACGGCTCTGATTGTATCACAGCCATCAGAGGGCGGATGGAAGAACCCTCAAAATATACACAGATTACTTTTATTGATGGTGCTATTTACTCATATTTCATTGGTCATAAACTGAACGTTTGAAGGGGGAGTCAGGTGTGTTGGATGATGTATCTCTGACCGCATCTGGGGATGCTGTGTACGTAGTGAACTCATATCATCCGATCTAAATTTACACACATTCCTGCCCCGGAAACAGATTTCAAACTGGTGATGGAGCTAATAAAAAAGTGTCATGTATTCATGTTCTCCCAACCTCCAAATACCTATCAAAGACTTGGTGATGGAGCGTTCGGCGCTACCATCTGTCATCCATCGCCTCTTCCCCCGTCACTCACTAAATCACGCTCTCTTTTTCTCACTCAGTCTCTCACTCCATCACCCATGTCGTCACTAACTCCCCCACTCTCTCTTTGTCTCACTCAACCTCTCCCTCCTTCGCTCCTTTTTTTCACGCCATCAATCACGCCGTCACTCTTTCGATCCATCTCTCACTCCATCTCTCGGCCCATCACTCATTCTGTCACTCACTCCGTCTCACGCCGTCACTCACTCCACCACTCAATCTCTCACTGTCACTCTTTCATTTCTCACTTCTCTCACTCCGTCTCTCACTTCATCTTATTCTCAGTCTCTCGCTCCGCCAATCACACCATTCATCACTCCACCTCTCTCCTCGTCTCTTACTCCATTTTATTTCTCCATCTCTCACCCCATCCATCTCTCACTCCGTCACTCGCTCCATCTCTTTCTCAACCTCTTACTCCATCACTCACCCCATCTCTTTCTCGTCCACTCACTACGTCACTCACTCCATCTCTTTCTCATCCACTCACTCCGTCACTCACTCCATCCCTTTCTCATCCACTTACTCCGTCACTCACTCCATCTCTTTCTCAACCTCTTACTCCATCACTCACCCCATCTCTCTCTTGCCCACTCACTCCGTCACTCGCTCCATCCCTTTCTCATCATTTAACTCCGTCACTCAACCCATCTCTTTGTCATCCACTCACTCTGTCACTCACTCCATCCCTTTCTCATCATTTCACTCCTTCACTCACTCACTCTCTTTCTCATCCACTCACCCCATCTCTTTCACGTCCACTCACTCCATTTCTTTCTCATCAACTCACTCCATCTCTTTCTCATCCTCTCACTCCATCTCTTTCTCAACCTTTCACTCCGTCACTCATTCCATTTCTTTCTCATCCATTCAACCCATCTCATTCTCATCCACTCACTCCATCTCTTTCTCATCCTTTCACTCCGTCACTCACTCCATCTCTTTCTCATCCTCTCACTCCGTCACTCGCTCCATCTCTTTGTCATCCTCTCTCTCCGTCACTCACTCCATCCCTTTTTCATCCACTCACTCCATCTCTTTCTCAACCTTTCACTCCGTCACTCATTCCATTTCTTTCTCATCCACTCATCCCATCTCTTTCACGTCCACTCACTCCATTTCTTTCTCATCAACTCACTCCATCTCTTTCTCAACCTTTCACTCCGTCAATCATTCCATTTCTTTTTCATCCACTCAACCCATCTCATTCTCATCCACTCACTCCATCTCTTTCTCATCCTTTCACTCCGCCACTCAACCCATCTCTTTCTCATCCTTTCACTCCGTCACTCACTCCATCTCTTTCTCATCCTTTCACTCCGTCACTCACTCCATCTCTTTGTCATCCACTCACTCCGTCACTCACTCCATCTCTTTGTCATCCTCTCACTCCGTCACTCACTCCATCCCTTTTTCATCCACTCACCCCATCTCTTTCTCAGCCTTTCACTCCGTCACTCATTCCATTTCTTTCTCATCCACTCAACCCATCCCATTCTCATCCACTCACTCCATCTCTTTCTCATCCTTTCACTCCGCCACTCACTCCATCTCTTTCTCATCCACTCACTCCGTCACTCACTCCATCTCTTTCTCATCCTCTCACTCCGTCACTCACTTCATCTCTTTGTCATCCTCTCTCTCCGTCACTCACTCCATCCCTTTTTCATCCACTCACCCCATCTCTTTCTCAGCCTTTCACTCCGTCACTCATTCCATTTCTTTCTCATCCACTCAACCCATCCCATTCTCATCCACTCACTCCATCTCTTTCTCATCCTTTCACTCCGCCACTCACTCCATCTCTTTCTCATCCACTCACTCCGTCACTCACTCCATCTCTTTCTCATCCTCTCACTCCGTCACTCACTTCATCTCTTTGTCATCCTCTCTCTCCGTCACTCACTCCATCCCTTTTTCATCCACTCACCCCATCTCTTTCTCAGCCTTTCACTCCGTCACTCATTCCATTTCTTTCTCATCCACTCAACCCATCCCATTCTCATCCACTCACTCCATCTCTTTCTCATCCTTTCACTCCGCCACTCACTCCATCTCTTTCTCATCCACTCACTCCGTCACTCACTCCATCTCTTTCTCATCCTCTCACTCCGTCACTCACTCCATCTCTTTGTCATCCTCTCACTCCGTCACTCACTCCATCCCTTTTTCATCCACTCACCCCATCTCTTTCTCAGCCTTTCACTCCGTCACTCATTCCATTTCTTTCTCATCCACTCAACCCATCCCATTCTCATCCACTCACTCCATCTCTTTCTCATCCTTTCACTCCGCCACTCACTCCATCTCTTTCTCATCCACTCACTCCGTCACTCACTCCATCTCTTTCTCATCCTCTCACTCCGTCACTCACTTCATCTCTTTCTCAACCTCTTAATCCTTCACTCACTCCATCTCTTTCTCATCCACTCACTTCATCTCTTTCTCATCCCCTCACTCCGTCACTCATTCCATCTCTTTCTCATCCACTCACTCCGTCACTCACTCCATCTCTTTCTCATCCTTTCAGTCTGTCACTCATTCCATCGCTTCCTCAACCTTTCACTCCGTCACTCTCTCCATCTCTTTCTCATCCCCTCACTCCGTCACTCACTCCATCTCTTTCTCAACCTCTCTTCATCGTGCACTCAGGGGCGGGCGGGTAGCCTCGTGGTAAAAGCGTTCGCTCGTCACGCCGAAGACCCGGGTTCGATTCCCGACATGGATTCAATGCGTAAAGCCCATTTCTGGTGTCACCCGCGGTGATATTGCTGGAATATTGCTAAAAGCTGCGTAAAACATACTCATTCACTCACTCATCGTGCACTCATTCTCTCCATCCCTCTTCTAAAGTCGAGCAGTGTGTCGACGCGAGGACGCTGTCAGCCATTTCTTATAGAATATAGATAATATGTTTGGGTTATTTTCTGGAAACGTGCAGAATGTACTTACAGGTATCCCAGCCTCGCCCTTTACTCCGAGTGCTCCCGCCGAGCCGCGAGGCCCCTGGAACAAGAACATACTTTGTGTAAAAGCACACAACATGCATGGAGCGCCCCTAGTACCTGTGTCACCACCTGCGTGAGGTATAACAACCTCTATATTACCCCAGGGTTAAGATTGTACCTGCGTGAGGTATAACAACCTCTATATTACCCCAGGGTTAAGATTGTACCCGCGTGTGGTATAACAACCTCTATATTACCCCAGGATTAAGATTGTACCTGCGTGTGGTATAACAACCTCTATATTACCCCAGGGTTAAGATTGTACCCGCGTGTGGTATAACAACCTCTATATTACCCCAGGATTAAGATTGTACCTGCGTGTGGTATAACAACCTTTATATTACCCCAAGATTAAGATTGTATCTGCGTGTGGTATAACAACCTCTATATTACCCCAGGGCTGAGATTGTACCCGCGTGTGGTATAACAACCTCTATATTACCCCAGGGTTAAGATTGTACCCGCGTGTGGTATAACAACCTCTATATTACCCCAGGATTAAGATTGTACCTGCGTGTGGTATAACAACCTCTATATTACCCCAGGATTAAGATTGTACCTGCGTGTGGTATAACAACCTCTATATTACCCCAGGATTAAGATTGTACCTGCGTGTGGTATTACAACCTATATATTACCCCAAGATTAAGATTGTACCTGCGTGTGGTATAACAACCTCTATATTACCCCAGGGCTGAGATTGTACCTGCGTGTGGTATAACAACCTCTATATTACCCCAGGGTTAAGATTGTACCTGCGTCTGGTATAACAACCTCTATATTACCCAAGGATTAAGATTGTACCTGCGTGTGGTATAACAGCCTCTATATTACCCCAGTGTTAAGATTGTACCTGCGTCTGGTATAACAGCCTCTATATTACCCCAGTGTTAAGATTGTACCTGCGTGTGGTATAACAACCTCTATATTACCCCAAGATTAAGATTGTACCTGCGTGTGGTATAACAACCTCTATATTACCTCAGGGTTAAGATTGTACCTGCGTCTGGTATAAAAGCATCTATATTACCCCAGTGTTAAGATTGTACCTGCGTCTGGTATAACAGTCTCTATATTACCCCAGTGTTAAGATTGTACCTGCGTCTGGTATAACAACCTCTATATTACCCCTGGGCTAAGATTGTACCTGCGTCTGGTATAACAGTCTCTATATTACCCCAGTGTTAAGATTGTACCTGCGTCTGGTATAACAGTCTCTATATTACCCCTGGGCTAAGATTGTACCTGCGTCTGGTATAACAGCCTCTATATTACCCCAGGGTTAAGATTGTACATGCGTCTGGTATAACAGTCTCTATATTACCCCTGGGCTAAGATTGTACCTGCGTCTGGTATAACAGCCTCTATATTACCCCTGGGCTAAGATTGTACCTGCTTCTGGTATAACAGCCTCTATATTACCCCAGTGTTAAGATTGTACCTGCGTCTGGTATAACAGCCTCTATATTACCCCTGGGCTAAGATTGTACATGCGTCTGGTATAACAGTCTCTATATTACCCCAGTGTTAAGATTGTACCTGCGTCTGGTATAACAGCCTCTATATTACCCCTGGGCTAAGATTGTACCTGCGTCTGGTATAACAGCCTCTATATTACCCCAGTGTTAAGATTGTACCTGCGTCTGGTATAACAGTCTCTATATTACCCCAGTGTTAAGATTGTACCTGCGTCTGGTATAACAGCCTCTATATTACCCCTGGGCTAAGATTCTACCTGCGTCTGGTATAACAGTCTCTATATTACCCCAGTGTTAAGATTGTACCTGCGTCTGGTATAACAGCCTCTATATTACCCCTGGGCTAAGATTGTACCTGCGTCTGGTATAACAGTCTCTATATTACCCCAGTGTTAAGATTGTACATGCGTCTGGTATAACAGCCTCTATATTACCCCTGGGCTAAGATTGTACCTGCGTCTGGTATAACAGCCTCTATATTACCCCAGTGTTAAGATTGTACCTGCGTCTGGTATAACAACCTCTATATTACCCCAGGGTTAAGATTGTACATGCGTCTGGTATAACAACCTCTATATCACCCCTGGGCTAAGATTGTACCTGCGTCTGGTATAACAGTCTCTATATTACCCCAGTGTTAAGATTGTACCTGCGTCTGGTATAACAGTCTCTATATTACCCCAGTGTTAAGATTGTACCTGCGTCTGGTATAACAACCTCTATATTACCCCAGTGTTAAGATTGTACCTGCGTCTGGTATAACAGCCTCTATATTACCCCTGGGCTAAGATTGTACCTGCGTCTGGTATAACAGCCTCTATATTACCCCAGTGTTAAGATTGTACCTGCGTCTGGTATAACAGTCTCTATATTACCCCAGTGTTAAGATTGTACCTGCGTCTGGTATAACAGCCTCTATATTACCCCTGGGCTAAGATTGTACCTGCGTCTGGTATAACAGCCTCTATATTACCCCTGGGCTAAGATTGTACCTGCGTCTGGTATAACAGCCTCTATATTACCCCAGTGTTAAGATTGTACCTGCGTCTGGTATAACAGTCTCTATATTACCCCAGTGTTGAGATTGTACCTGCTTCTGGTATAACAGCCTCTATATTACCCCTGGGCTAAGATTGTACCTGCGTCTGGTATAACAGCCTCTATATTACCCCAGTGTTAAGATTGTACCTGCGTCTGGTATAACAGTCTCTATATTACCCCAGTGTTAAGATTGTACCTGCGTCTGGTATAACAGCCTCTATATTACCCCTGGGCTAAGATTCTACCTGCGTCTGGTATAACAGTCTCTATATTACCCCAGTGTTAAGATTGTACCTGCGTCTGGTATAACAGCCTCTATATTACCCCTGGGCTAAGATTGTACCTGCGTCTGGTATAACAGTCTCTATATTACCCCAGTGTTAAGATTGTACATGCGTCTGGTATAACAGCCTCTATATTACCCCTGGGCTAAGATTGTACCTGCGTCTGGTATAACAGCCTCTATATTACCCCAGTGTTAAGATTGTACCTGCGTCTGGTATAACAACCTCTATATTACCCCAGGGTTAAGATTGTACATGCGTCTGGTATAACAACCTCTATATTACCCCTGGGCTAAGATTGTACCTGCGTCTGGTATAACAGTCTCTATATTACCCCAGTGTTAAGATTGTACCTGCGTCTGGTATAACAGTCTCTATATTACCCCAGTGTTAAGATTGTACCTGCGTCTGGTATAACAACCTCTATATTACCCCAGGGTTAAGATTGTACCTGCGTCTGGTATAACAGCCTCTATATTACCCCTGGGCTAAGATTGTACCTGCGTCTGGTATAACAGCCTCTATATTACCCCAGTGTTAAGATTGTACCTGCGTCTGGTATAACAGTCTCTATATTACCCCAGTGTTAAGATTGTACCTGCGTCTGGTATAACAGCCTCTATATTACCCCTGGGCTAAGATTGTACCTGCGTCTGGTATAACAGCCTCTATATTACCCCTGGGCTAAGATTGTACCTGCGTCTGGTATAACAGCCTCTATATTACCCCAGTGTTAAGATTGTACCTGCGTCTGGTATAACAGTCTCTATATTACCCCAGTGTTGAGATTGTACCTGCGTCTGGTATAACAGCCTCTATATTACCCCTGGGCTAAGATTGTACCTGCGTCTGGTATAACAGTCTCTATATTACCCCAGTGTTAAGATTGTACCTGCGTCTGGTATAACAGCCTCTATATTACCCCTGGGCCAAGATTGTACCTGCGTCTGGTATAACAGTCTCTATATTACCCCAGTGTTAAGATTGTACCTGCGTCTGGTATAACAGCCTCTATATTACCCCTGGGCTAAGATTGTACCTGCGTCTGGTATAACAGCCTCTATATTACCCCAGTGTTAAGATTGTACCTGCGTCTGGTATAACAACCTCTATATTACCCCAGGGTTAAGATTGTACATGCGTCTGGTATAACAACCTCTATATTACCCCTGGGCTAAGACTGTACCTGCGTCTGGTATAACAGTCTCTTTATTACCCCAGTGTTAAGATTGTACCTGCGTCTGGTATAACAGTCTCTATATTACCCCAGTGTTAAGATTGTACCTGCGTCTGGTATAACAGCCTCTATATTACCCCTGGGCTAAGATTGTACCTGCGTCTGGTATAACAGTCTCTATATTACCCCAGTGTTAAGATTGTACCTGCGTCTGGTATAACAGCCTCTATATTACCCCTGGGCCAAGATTGTACCTGCGTCTGGTATAACAGTCTCTATATTACCCCAGTGTTAAGATTGTACATGCGTCTGGTATAACAGCCTCTATATTACCCCTGGGCTAAGATTGTACCTGCGTCTGGTATAACAGCCTCTATATTACCCCAGTGTTAAGATTGTACCTGCGTCTGGTATAACAGTCTCTATATTACCCCAGTGTTAAGATTGTACCTGCGTCTGGTATAACAGCCTCTATATTACCCCTGGGCTAAGATTGTACCTGCGTCTGGTATAACAGCCTCTATATTACCCCTGGGCTAAGATTGTACCTGCGTCTGGTATAACAGCCTCTATATTACCCCAGTGTTAAGATTGTACCTGCGTCTGGTATAACAGTCTCTATATTACCCCAGTGTTGAGATTGTACCTGCGTCTGGTATAACAGCCTCTATATTACCCCTGGGCTAAGATTGTACCTGCGTCTGGTATAACAGTCTCTATATTACCCCAGTGTTAAGATTGTACCTGCGTCTGGTATAACAGCCTCTATATTACCCCTGGGCCAAGATTGTACCTGCGTCTGGTATAACAGTCTCTATATTACCCCAGTGTTAAGATTGTACCTGCGTCTGGTATAACAGCCTCTATATTACCCCTGGGCTAAGATTGTACCTGCGTCTGGTATAACAGCCTCTATATTACCCCAGTGTTAAGATTGTACCTGCGTCTGGTATAACAACCTCTATATTACCCCAGGGTTAAGATTGTACATGCGTCTGGTATAACAACCTCTATATTA